AGACATTGTTTTTATAAGCACTGCTACTGTGAACATTCTTGTACATTTCTTCCTATACCTATATAAAAATTTCTCTGTGGCATATACTCAGGAGTCAAATTGTTGTGTGTTAAAAATGTACATTTTGAACTTTAGTAGAGTAAGCCACCTTGTTTTTCAAATGGTTTTAGTAATCTCTGACAGCTTCTATTATTCCACATCTTTGCCCAAACCCTTGGTATCACCTAACATGTTTTGACTTTGGTGAGTTCATAATAATAACAATGGTAAAGCCATTTCCACCTGGTTAGCAAAATTGAGCTTATAACTCAGGTTCATCAGATTCAACTTATTCTTTCCAGTCTCCCAAGAGAAGGATCACTTACCCAGAACTAAGCCTCCTTCAGTCCCTTTGGCCCCAGCTCTTTGTCCCCAACCTCAGAATGTCCCTGCTGCCCACATGACTGCACATTGCATTCATCACTATAGACCTCAAGCAGAGAAAGATCTTTTCATGTGTGTATTCTTTTCATTCACATCTTAGGAGGGTGAAAGTGAGAAATGAGTCAGAATCTCAAAGAGAAATCGGCCTTCCAAGTGCACAGTTAGCCAGCAATGGAGGGACCCGAGAGGAGCATACACAGAAGGAGCAGAACTTAGAAGCTTCTGTCTGCCCAACTTGTCAAGAGGGCTTAGTCTTGGCCAAGCCAAGTTTAGCACAGAATGGAGTGACTGTGTTGGTGTGAAGCGAAGGAGGAAGATCCTGGGGTTAACCATTTTTGACAGAATAATTGCCCAGGATGTCACTCTTGCTGCTTTTGTGAAGGTCAATGCACTGAATTTTCTGGGAGGGACGCCAACCAGCTGTCTCTCTTATTGTGGAGTCAGGCTTACTGTTGTGGCCCTAAGATTGTTCAACCACATGGTCATGGCCATCTAGGATGGTGTTGAAGAGGTAGATGATGGTTTCTCTTGCCTTTTCTCCTCTTTCCTCCCCTTTGGAGCTAGGAAATCCTAAAGCTCTGGGTAAGGTATTGGGAGCCAGCCAGGGCTTTATAAAGCCCCCAGGAGCCAGCCTGAGGAATAGTAAGAGCAGCATGGTAAAGAGGGTGGGCTTTCATTTTCTCATCTTGGTCCATCTCCATGTTGTGGAATCCTCTAGATTGTGTTTGATGATTGCCTGGACATCTTGATGCTGGAGATAGGAAGCAGTAGCTGTGCTGAGCCAGGATTAAAGCAGTCCCTCAGCAGAGTTGGCCTGTTGTAGAGAATGAGGAGGACAATGCAAGTCCCACTGTAGAATTCTAATGAGTTTCTGCAAAACCATCATTTTGTGTCCAAAGAGCGAACAGACCTTTTGTCTACTCTGGCCTATGGTGGTGAGTACACAGTGCAGTTGTGTGGGTAGGAGGAGCATCCTGGGTTTGGAGATGAAGACATGAGACCCAGGGGTCTGAGGGAGGCTTAGTTATGGGTGAGTGAATGGACCCTTCTCTTGGAAGACTGGAGAGAATGAGTTAAGGTGAGTTTGATAGGCAAAAGATGTGGGCTCTGGTCTGAGATCTCAGAATTTGCTCTCCCTGCCCCCTCCCAACATGCTACAGAAGGGAGGAAAGAGATGGGCAGGTGGGATATTAGAGGACTTAGAGAGTGGTTGCAGTGTGAAGTCATACTGGTAAGCTGGGATAGCACATCTGGACACAGTTTTGCTTAATTGATATGAGCAGCTCTCTTATAAAAAGGCACATGCTTTCCATTAACATTATAGAAAAAGTCCCTAGAGACATGTAGTAAATTGCATCTCTGAACTTCTACAGACTCAGCATTTTGCTTGTAAGTAAGGTATATAGATTCCAGCAGGCCAGTGTTCCATTCCCTCTGATAATAAGCAGGAAAAAAATAGATAAATATGATTTAAAGGCATCAGAGTGCTACAGAAATGATGAAGACTAGAGAGATTGAAATTCCAGGGAAATAAAGGAGGACCACTCAAAGATGAAATTGGCAGCTCTCTCTCTTGAGAGCATTTGCCAGTTCTGGATGCAGGCTAAAGATGGACTTGGCTCAGATAGAGAGATGCTGCTGGTAGAAAGAGAAATAGGCAAAGCATTTAGCAGTGATGTGCCTTTCAAATTCATGGCTGATTTTCACCACAAGATATTTGCTGAATTTCAAGTCTGTGCCAGAGTGCAAAGAGTTAGGCTTCATATTCCTGAGAGGCAGAGTAAAATTCTCAGATTGACTGTGTGAGTGGAGAGCAAAGTTCTACAAAGGAGCTGAAAAAAAAATAAGAGACTTAAAAGGCCCAGAGAGAGTGGGGAATTGACTCTGGACACTTACATATCCGTTCACCTGGGCATTTACTGATTCTAGGAGCAGTGAGAGGCTTGGGCATCCAGCGTTGGTCCCTGCTGCTACTTGGTTTGCTGCAGGCAGAGAAACTTGCACAAATCTTGATGTTTACATGTAGCTTGAATGACAAAATGAGAGACTTGAGTGGCTCTAAATATGTGGCCAGGCCCCTTCAAGATTTGCTAAATTATGAAGATATATGGATTTGAAGGCTACAGAACTAAGTCAAAAACTTCTTAAGGACAGTATTGAATCTCTAGCAGCCTTTCATGGCAGAGGAGATGAATATCTACCCAGTCATCAGTAGAAATCACTTAAAGGTCTGCCCTAAACACAGAGGTGAACCAGAGATAGACTGAGTTTTACCAGCACTGAACCTCAACCCTGAGAAGTAGGAATATCCTATCTACCTACTTGTCTAGCAGAAAAAAAGGGAACATTTCCCTGGTAGAAGATGTGGAACCTTAACAATTCTTTTATACCCATTTTCCAACATACAGTAAAAAATTACTAGACATGGAAAAATGTGAAACCATATATACTTAGGTCAAAATGAAACCCCAGATAATAGAAACAGGTTAAGACATAATCCAGATGTTAAGAGTTTTCATTAAGGACTTTAAAATAACCAATTAGTATATTCAAGGAAAAGGAGGAAGAAAATGGATGAAATAGGTGATGGGAAGAAGACTAAGAATTAACTAAGTCTCCCCAGAGACTTAAAATTTATTCAAATGGATATTCTAGAACTAAAAAAATTGCAATATTTGAAATTAAGAGGTCAGTGGGTAGATTTAACAGCACAATTGGTTCAATATCAATAGCCAAGGATGGTGAGCTAGAAAGCAAATCAGTAAAAAGTACCGAAATTGAAGCAGGGAAAACCAAGAAAGGAGGGAAAAATAATTGTGGTATAAAAAATGCTGGACACACTCAGCAGGTCAGACACATATGTAACTGGAGTCCTAGAAGAGGCAGAGAGAGAGTGGAGCAGAAGCAGTGTCTTGGAGGGAGAGTTAAGAAGGTAAGTGAACCTCCAAGCAGGATAGATGGATTCTGCTCTTGAAGTACAATAATACATACTTTCTACCCTTTTAGTCATTTTCTAGTTTTATCACTTTGAACAAGTCACTTGACCTTGATGAGCCTCAGTTTACCCTTCTGTAAAAATAAGGTTTAGATAAAAGATTCTCTGAAAAGATTCCTTAGAAACAATTACATTCTAAAGAAATACCAGAGTGTCACTGTCATAATTACAGCTTGACTGACTCTGGGACAGCCTGGGGCAAACTTGAGAGCTGTGCTCCATACTCTCTTCAGTCTCTGTCTACTGCCATTCAAGGGGACTTGTGTGACTCACTTCGGGTCATAGGTCTGCAGTGAAGGCAGGCAGATGAATGATTTAAACCCATCAAGTTTCTGGATGTGTCTAGGCATTATTTTGTTCTTCCCAGATCCTAGAAGTTGGAAAATGACCAGGGTCAGTGTTCTGGGATCGTGAATCCATTCTGATCCACTTTCAGCCACATACCTTCCCTAGGTCTGCCTTGGTCCTGCCATGTCAGTCCTGCCTGGGCCTGAGTCAGAATTCCACCAGCCCCAAGGTCTCAGGGCCATTCTCCTATACCAGCCCATGGTTTAGATCTACATTTTCCACAGCCCTCTCCTCTGCCACATTTCTTGATTATGTCCAGTGATAGCAGGCAGGTCACTTTACTGTGTTTACTAGCTTTATATCTTTGGTTAAGCTGAAGGCCTGACATATAGTAAATGCTGAATAAATGTTTATTGAGTGAATGAATTAATGGTGTGCTGGATATCATCCCTTTACCCCTCTAGATCCATTCTCTACCCTTCTTCATTCTGTTCTGGTTCCTGAGAGGCTAACCTGCAGATGACATCAATGGGCTCCCAGGTCCTTTTACTTCTGGATGGGTTTGGCAAATAGCAAATGAAGGTCAAAGGGAGATAGGGGATGGTATTTGTTCCCCTGGCTCTTGTTCCTGTGCTGGCTGTGTCCCTCAACAGAAGGTCACCTCCCTTTTCAAGGCAGCCTGCTCCATATGATCCTCCCTTTTCAAGGTGTGTCTCCTTTCCATTCAGTCTTCCTTTTAGGTCAAGAGTAGTGAGAGTTGGCACCAGGGTCCTATTCCATCCTTTACAGTTTCTGCCTTGCTCACACCTATATTACTGTCCTTATAAATTAACTCTCCACAAATTATCCTAATTGGAGTGTACCTTTCCTTCCTGCTGGAAAGCAGCAGTCTCTAGTTGCTTATGGAGATTTAAAATGGTTGAACTGGACACTGGAGCTGCAGGTGATTAAAACAGGTATGTAGATCAGTTCTTCCAAGAAAGTGTGCTATGGCTACCACTAAGGGTGCTCTGATGTGTGGCTATTTGGGGACAATAAATAGCAGTTTGGGATACTATTCTTGACTTATGAGAGGCATTCTCCCTCTGATAACATGTAAGATCTCAGTTTAGACTGTCTATTTAGTGTCTGAAATTACCTCTTATCATTGTTGTGAATCTGACTCAACATGGGATGTGCCAGAAGAACGTAGGACCAAATATAACAGGGCAAGAGAAGTACGCTGTAATTTTAAGACGTGACTGTGGTGTCCAACTCAGTGTTTACATTTCTCCTCTCAAATGTTTTCCTGCAGGTGATCATAAACAGCACAATCACGCCGAATATGACCTTCACCAAAACGTCACAGAAGTTTGGGCAGTGGGCAGACAGCAGAGCCAACACGGTGTTTGGTTTGGGGTTTTCTTCTGAGCAGCAGCTGACAAAGGTACATTCCTTTATACAGCATAATAAGCACCACCTCAGATACCACTCTCATTCAGAAATTGCCTACTGAGGGATGGAGTGGTGCTTTCAGTGAGCAAGAATACTTTTGGTCTTGCACTTCACCCTTCTGGCATCACAGAGCTGCCAATGCAGGTGCCCTTCCCCAAATACCAGGTTCCTTGAAAACAAGAAATCCATCTCTTAACAAGTGCCACTTCAGGGACTGAGGTTGCAGCATAAGGAAGCAGTGAGTACAGTCCTTCCTGTCCTCCAGTGTCTGCTTCTGCCTTTTGTGTCTGGCAGGGTTAGTGGGCTTGTCTGCCCAATTCTTGACTACTAGATTTTCAGGGTCCATGTGAGGAAAGAGTCATCGGCAGGTCCTTACCCCCGGACTCCTGAGGAAGAGACTATGATCCTGCTCCCAGCAGCAGTGCATCTTGATGGAACAAGCTTGTTACATCTTTTAAAGGATAGCACAGTTTGTCTTTGACATTCATCACTGTCAGTGATTCTCTGTTTGGAGCCCTCAGAAAAGGGGAGTAAGATAATGCTTAGTAGGAATTTCTAGCCTGGAGTCCCCACACCCCTTAAAATGCCACACAGTGCTGTGTATGTGTGTGGGAGGTGCTCCCCCCTCCCAAGAGAGGATTCATAGCTGATTCATTCTCCAAGGATCTAGACACACCTGAGAATGACTAGAAAGGTCTTGCAGAGCAGATCATAGCTGACTGCAGAATAGGGGTACCTGAGGGAACAAACTGATGGTCTCTGAGCAGCCTTACTCAGCCATTTTAAGGGGGATGAAAGCCTGTTTCAGGAGAATAAATTTCCTTTTAGGATTATAGAAGAGCCCTGTGTAAGTATTAAGAATGTTTGAGTTGAAAGTAATATTGACTAGTTTATATGACATAGGAATTTATTAGAAGAATGTCAGAGTATCTCAAGGAATCCAAGGGAAAGTTGAAAAGCTAGGCCAGCTAGAATTAGGCTGGTTTCCAGAAGCATGGCTATAGAAGTTTTTTCATCTAGACTGTTGCAATTAATGTCTGGCTGACTATCTGGGCAGGTATTTATTGGGCTCCTGCTCTGCTGACACTGTGCTAGGCACTGAGGGTGCAGAGACATCAATCCCTGTTCCTAGGAGGAGCTCCATAAAATTCTAGATTCTTGAGGAATTGCATACTACAGCCTCAGCTATTTGAGTTCCTTTGTGTACCATGTTGTGAGATGGAAAAGAGGAGCAAGAGCCCTGAGGGCAGAGAGAATTTATGTAAACTGGAAGCAAGTGTTTTTGATGGTGACTGGCAGGGTGAGCAGCCAGAGCCTCTGTCTGGAGTGGACAGGGGTTTGCATGGTTTTCCCTCCAGTAGAGGTGCCCAGTAGGGAAGGGAATGGTGGGAGCACCCCACTCCCCAGGGCTCTCCCAACTCCCTCATAGCCAGAGGAAGGGGTTTGGGAACTTCAGACTGCTGGGGAGGTTCCTGGGTCCTGACTGGGCTCATCTTCACACAGGCTCCTGATCTTGTCCCGGACCAGAGGTTCTTTCCTGAAGCTCGGGATGGTTTGAGAGAATCAGTGATAGCTTCCTGGAACAATTTCTTTAGTATTCAGAGGAACTGAAGTAGCTAGAAGGATAAAGGGAGAAAGTTTCTATGAAAAGAATCAAAAGTGAAACTCCAGACAAAAACCTAGAACAAGTTGTTGAAGTTCAATTCTTTGTGCCTCAGAGAGCTGAAGAGACCTTGAGCTGTGCCTGCCTCCAAGGGCAGCCACTTCTAAATTTTCTCAGAAGAAAATGTCCTATCATTAAGGAGGAGTGTCCTGTCTTCCTGAGTCATTCAGTCTCTGGCAACACTAGAGTCTCTGCTCTTTGACTGTGACCTGTCATTATTATAAAGACTTCTCAAATAAACTCTTGGGTGAATGTTTCCTTTGTCCAAAATATTTCAAATCAACTTTCTCCATTCTCTTTGAAGGGAGCCATTAACCACACACTGATAAATTATCATGAATTGAAGCCGGCAGTCTCGACAAGTAGCAATTAGCTACACTGAAGGAACTTGGGCCTAAAGGGTTCCCAAGGCATGTGCTGAGGGACATCTGTGGCTGAGTATTCCTGACTTCCCAGAGCTACCACCCACAGACCCTAGGGGAATTGGTGATCAAACACTCCAGGCTAGAGAAAGGAACCAGCGTGTGCATTTTCATTTAAGAACACTTTATGCCTACTTCTCTCTCTGACCCCCAAAATGAAAATAGATACCTTGGTCTTAACAGCTGTTATTATAAGGACCACTTCACAGCCACAGTCCAGAAAATATTTCAGGGAAACTTTCTACTCTTGAGACAGCCTTTACAAAAATAATAGATGCTGTTTGTTCCCAGAAATAAACTGGGACTCCTCTGTCCACCCACTGGAAAGACGCAATACCTCAGCCCACTAAAGAACATTGAAAAGGAGCTTGCATGTTCAGATAAAAGGAAGAGCTTATGAAAAAAAGACAAAAGGAGAAAGAACCAAATATAAGAATGAACCAGTTATTGAAGTTTAGATTCTTTCTGGCATCTGACCTCAAGTTGTCACTGTTCTAAGTTTGGCTTTATCTCATTCATAGAAGGAAACACATTCTTCCATTAAGGAGAGCAGTCCAGGATGAAGTCATGAGCGCTGCATGGCTTGATTTTTTTTTTTTGGGGGGGGGGGGGGTACTGGGGATCGAATCCAGGGCTTCGTGCATATGAGGCAAGCACTCTACCAACTGAGCACTCCCCAGCCCAATGAGTGCTTCATGGTTGTTCCATCTCAACCCTAATACACATGTGATATTTGCTTTCAACACATTTCAGTAATTTTATCCATTACTCAGAAATGTCCCCTCTCTTTACTTCCTTAACTCAGTGTAGTTGAAAGAACATTATCCAGTCTCCTTTTGGTCACCTGATTTAGGGTGAATTTTGGGGGGGAGGGGTTACCAGGGATTTAATTCAGGATGACTTTACCACTGAGCCATATCCCCATACCTTTTTATTTTTATTTTTGAGACCAAGTCTCACTAAATTGCTTAGGGCCTTACTAAATTGCTGAGGCTTTCCTTGAACTTAAGAATCTCCTGCGTCAGCCTCTCAAGTTGCTGGGATTATAGAAGTGCACAATGATGCCCCACAAAGGTAACTTTTTAAAAATGTGAGATATTAATCATTCTTTTGATATGTTTCAGATAGAATGCTTTTGACTAAAAGTAACAGAAACCCAAATTGTAGTGCTTAAATAAAGAGGGTATTCTTCTCATGCAAAAGAGAAGTCCTGAGATAGGTAGTTGCCGACATGACTTCATAGTGTTAGATCTGAGAGTTCTGCATCATATTTTTGTATGTTTTTTCTTCTATTGACCTTTCCTTCTTGGTGATAAGATGGCTACTTAAACTCTGTACATAACATCTGCTCTCACAGCAAAATTGGGAGAAAGCAGAACCAGAATACTTCCCTTGAAAACTTCATGACTGACTTCTTAGATTCCATTGTCAGCCCTGGATCCCTAACCCCTTCTCCCTCAAATAATAAATACAAGGAAGTAGGTTGCTATGATCATTCTCCAGCACCTAGGAAATTTTTACTCCAGACAAATTTGAGATTCTGTTAAGCTAAGAGAAAAAAAAAAGATTATGAATGGCAAATGTATTGTCTGCCATACGTCTTCAGTGACCAAGACTAAGAAAAACCATAGACAAAATCGAGCACTATTAGTCTGTCATTTTCCATGATAAGGGTGGTAATTATTTTGATCATCTTCTATCTGTGATGAATGAGATAAAGCCAAACTTAGAACTGTAATGTTCTTACAACTACAATTTAAAATTATTATCACAACTTTAAAAACTATATAAAATGATCTTAATAATAAAGACATGAGAATTTGGCAATGTATTTCAGAAACCTTTCTGGTTTGACTTGCCATTGACTAATGGGTTTCATTTACAGGAATGCATTTGAAAGAAATAATGGCAATGGAGTACAAAGATTTAGCTACAAGGATTTTCCTTGCATCATCATTTTGAAGAACAACCAAAGAAAGGAAAAAAGGGGAGAAAGAATCTAAACCAGCAGTAGGAAATTAGTTAAATAACCCAGTACATCCCTCAGCATAATATTGTGCAGCAATTAAGATAATGTGGTAGAAAATCATATAATTGCATGGAAGTATTACTGTCATATTGTTAATTTCAGAAGAGGCTATAAAATGAGATGCACAACATCATTTCAGTTTTTAAAAGAAATATTTGTATGTATGTGATGGATGCATATATACAGATAGAAAATATCAGAAATTTGTATGGTTAGTGCTTATTTCCAGGTGATAGGATGATAGTTTTTAAGAATATTTAATTCTAAATATATTTTCCACATTTTCAAGCATATGTGCTTTTATACAATAATGGGAAAATATTAGAAAACTGTAGACTTCATGAAAATTTTTCACCAAAGGATAATCATTTGGCACCTCTCTTAAGTGGTGAAGTCTCTGAAGGGGACCATTCTTCCATCAACACCCAGAGCTCTCTGGATTGCTTCCAATTTTTCATTATTGTGGGCAAAGCTAAAATTATGATTGTTGTGTTGAAGGCCCCCCCCAATTTTCTCAAGTATTTTTGCAGAATAGTTTCCCAGAAGCATTATCACTGAGTCAGTTGGTATAAACTTTTTTTTTCACTCATGATACATATTTTCAAATTGCTTCTCAATGGGGCTGTACCAAAACACAATGCTACCAGAAAGATCTTGCCAGCACTGAGGTTGATAATTGTATTTAGTGTTTGCTAATTTAGCAGGCAAAGAATGGTTCCTCATTATTTTGATTTGCATTTCCAGCAAGGCTGAACAGTCTTCTCTCTATGTTGTTTAGTTATTCTACTTTTTGTTCACGAATTTTGCCATTTATCTATCGGAATTTTCATATTTTCCTTTTCATCTTGTACAAATTCTTTCTGTACTAAAAATAATAACCTTTTTTTCTGTTGTCCTAGCTTAGCTATAGACCATTTCCCCTACTGCTGTTTTCCTTCTTCTTTGGTTTTTTTCCCTTTTATGTTTAAATTGTTATACAGTCAAGCCTGTCACTTTTGTGATTTTCTTTGATTTCTTCCAAGTTTGGAAAATTACCTTCCCACCCTTCAAGTAGAAGTTCAATAAATATTCAATATTGTTTGTATCTAGATTTTTTAGTGTTTAACTTTTTTTTCACACTTACCCATTATAACTGATTAATGATTTAACATGCTGCTGGTTTGTGTTAAGGATTTAAATTCCTTGCCCTACAGTTTTCTAAAGTTATCTTAATTATATGTTGATAACATATAATTAAGATAACTTTAGAAATAACATATAATTTAAGATAACTTTAGAAAACTGTAGGGCAAAGACCCATTTCTTACCTGTTCTTTTCATCATGTATCTGCTCATAACACATCTTTTAAAATGAGTTGATAGGGTTTTTCCTATTTTGTTGCATTTTAAACTCGTTTTCTGAAATTTCCATCTTGATTTATGTCTGTGTAATATAAACAAAATCCTCTGTAGACTTAAGAGTTTCTTTGGGGGCAGAAACCAAGTCTTTGATGTGATTGTTTCCTTTCTCAATGGACAGGGATGCACAGACCTGAACCCAGGGCTCATTCATTCACTGAGCAATCTCATTTGTGCCTGCTTTCTGCCAGGTGTGGAGGAAGGTGCAAAAATGAAGAGGCAGGGACTCCGCCATCATGGAGTACATGACATGAAGTTTTTCCTGAAAGAAGTTCCTTCCTGAAGAGGAAGGAGGCTTTGTCCCTCCCTGCAGAGCTTTACGTGTTTCAAGCAAATGATAATGTGATTTTCCTCTGACAGCTTTGGAAAGGTTAAATATGAAGCCCCATGGCTGTGGCTTTATTAACGGGGCCGGCAGCAGCAACTCTGGGCCAGAACCAAAAGGATGACCTTTTCTGCTTAGACCAGGGTGCTGAGTTCACCAGCATCTGTTATCTGTCAAGATCTCCTTGAAGCATACTGCTTTTGTGGGCATTGTGAAGATACTCAGAGGACAGCCTACGCTCACAAATAGATGAGTCCTGAGCAAAACCCTCAGAATTGTCTTTAGCCTTGCAACCTGCTACTTTCTGTTTCTCTTAGGAACTACATTTAGTTCTCCTTGCTTTGTAATACCAGGATTATCCATTAGAAACTGTTCTCTGTTCAAACATCATATTTGCTAATGAAAATCAGTCACCTTGTCAGTGACTGTGAGCCAGTGATTACTTTGATAGCTCTAGGATTTTAAGAATTATTTTAATATGGAAATGTTAAAACATTTTAAAAAGTAGAGAGCACAGATTAATGAACACTACACATATCACCTAGATTTAACACTTATTAGCATCTTGCCATACTTCCTTATCTCTTTTATTAGTGTACTTTATTTTTTAATTTATTGGTTCTTTTTAGTTCTACATGACAGTAAAATCCATTTTGACATAATTATAAAAGCATGGAATATATCTTGTTGATTCAGTCCCCAGTACGTCTCCTTCCCCTCCCTCACCGACCTCCCTTCCCTCTTCTCTGTTGATCTTTCTGCCATTTACCGGTAGTTATTTTAATTAATTTCTTGTTGATGTACACATGGTGAGATTCACTGTGGTATATTCACATAGGTATATAGGAAAGTTATTAGTGTACTTTAAACAGATTACATGATGATTAAGGTTATAATCATAGGCTGCATTTGATTATTTTGTGTCTTTTTCTAAAAAACCGAAGAATAGTTTCCCCAAGGTTTTGGGCATTTTTCTTTTCTGTGGCATTAACTTCTGAGAGTTCTTGGATCTTTTAAATAGGGTTCATTAAGTTTTTCATGGATCCCATCTGTAATGTAGTTATGTTTCTCTTGATGATTTTGTATTAGTTACTATAAACCTAAGGACTTTGTTTATTTGTTTGTTTGTTTATCATCATCAAACCAGCTTCAGTAGCTTTGAAACTGGTTCAGATCTGACGTGGGCCAATAGTATTTACTAGAAAAATTTCTTATATTCATATATTTTAAACCTCAAATAAAATTATCTTGAGTTTATATAGAATTTATTGGCTTAAAAAGGATACAGAATAATAAAAATGGGTTTTGAATAACAGCCAAGAATAAACATTAATAAAAACCTTAATAACTATTTTTGGTATTCAGTTTGCAGATAAGTTCCAGGAGGTAAAAGAAGCTGCCAAATTAGCCAAAGACAAATCCCAGGAGAAAATCGAAACTTCGAGTAATCATTCCCAAGTAAGTCATTTATCCATGAAACAAATCTGAATGTGATTGGTGATCAAGATTCCTCATTCCTTGGTGCTCTTGGCAAGAAATGAATTTTAGCAGCAGGGTTTTGAAGGCTGTTCAAAATAAGGGGTATGTGACATGTTTTTATTAGACTTAAATTTCAAGGCATAATACTATAGTTTTGACAGAAAATGGTTGATGAGATTGGAATTAATGCATGTCCCTAGACCTTGAGAAATAGGTGGTGGTCATTCTGTGTTTAAATGTTGGCAGCAAAGCAGCATGTTTCCTTTCTGTGTTGGGAGGTGAGGTCTGTATATAGGATTCTCATTGGTGGATGCAGGCACCTTGTACCCATCAAAGAGAAAACTTGATACCAGAGAGCCCTCTGTCTTAGTCCTGTAGGTAGGAGTCAGTTTGGAGATGGTATTCCCAACAGCTCTGTCTTAGCCAGAGAAGATCTGGCTTTTTCAGGAATTGAGGGTGTCTGTCTGCTATGAAGTATGATGAGTGGCTAAGGATTTACTTTAACCTAAAGTAAAAATACCAGCATTGCTAGTATCTACACTGATACATGTGGTTGTGATGGAAGGCTTGACAAGCTTATTTGTAGAAAGAGAAAGAGAGATTTCAGGATCAAGGGGTTGGAGTCAGGAATCAGCATGCTGTATTAGCATGCAATCAGGAGTCTGCCTAGCTGGGCTGAGGTGTGCTGTGGGATGTGTGGGGATGTTCTTGGAGATACTATGAAAAGACCCAGACTTCTTCATTAGTGGGTAGTTTATTAATTTTTTAGCTCCTTGTTTATTACTGGGTAATTGGTGGACATTGGAGGTTCTATGACTGTTGATATGGAATTGACCTGAGGGTTGTGTGCAGGTAGAAAGGCAGTTGGGAGTGGCTCAGGGCAGAAAGATTTTTGAGGAAGCTTTAGAGGGGAAGGCAGCTGGGCCCTGGTAGCCTCTGGCAAATGACGAAGAAATGAATGTCAGGGACAACTCCCAGGAAGAAAGCCAGGAGACCCATGCATGTGAAGTGGTCATGCTCAACACTGCAGACTTTACCATCAGTCTCACAGAAGCAGTAGCTGAAGCCTGGGTGTACCAGGAAGCAGGAAGGAGAGGAGTGCAAAAGCCCAGCCCTGGACAGTGAGCCCAGTTACAGAAAGAGAGCCAGTGAAAAGGCAAGGGAGGAAGGAACTCTAGCATCATGGAACCCAAGGCAGTGCTTCCACAGCATTCAGTGCTAATAGTGGAGGGGAGAGGAGGCTGAGAGGGACCCTGGTCTTGTCAGGAGACTTGGTGACTTGGGGTGTTTCACGGATTGGACCTAGTTCTGTCTGGAGTTACATTCCCAACACCTTGTCCTAGGCTCACCATATTAAAGATGCCCCATATGGATTTATGGAAATAAAGTGTATTAGGCTTCAGATAGATGGGAACTTTCTAAATAATCTATAATCTCTATGCTGTTTATTTAGTATTAACACTGTTAATTTAGTTTTATTAATTATTAAGTAATCTCTGAGGATCTATAAAATTGTGTGTAAATTTTACAGAAATTGTCCATGGTGTAGAGATTCTAATAAAATGTCTTTTTTCTGAATACAGACTTTATAGTGATATCTTTAAACTTAAACATCTGAATTTCTCTATATGTCTTTGTTTTAAAATTTGTCCCCCCAAAAGTATTTTAAACCTTAAAAAAAACAAGTATACCCAATGTTTATCTACATATACATACATACACACAGACACACATACAACACATACATGTACACAGACACATTAATTATATTGGAATGAAATATTGTCTCTAAGATTGGTTTTTATTTATTTTTCCTGATATTTCCCCAGAAATCTAGATCATTGTGCATTTTTCTTATTTTTATTCAAAAATCAGTTACTTGTTTTCCTGAATCTCTTTGACCAAGATTTCCAAGTAGTTGAAGATTTAAACAACCTAATTTCAAAAACACTAAAAATGAGTTTTGTAACTATAAAAATGATACATATGTATTGTAGAATTAAAACATATATTATACTACAAAAAAAGGAATAAAAATCATCTGTTTTCTTAAAGATGCCTTTTTGTAGTATGTTGGTATGTATCTTTTTTTAAATATAGCTTTTGGATAAATTTTTTCTATTACCTTTTATAACCTTTATTAATTTTTTTTATGTCATAATAATTTCTTTGTATTTTCAAGTATTCCCTTTCAAATCTGTTTGTCAGGATTTGTACTATTAGCTTCTTGTGATTTGGGACTTCCATGTTGTTTCTCATTTTTCATTATTATAAATAACACTATGATGAGTGCTCTTGCCTCATCTTTGTGCATTTGACAGTTTCTGCAGAATAACTCCTTGAGATGGAGCACAGGTTGAGGTCCTACGCATTCTTAAATCTTTTGATGCACACAGTTACACTTGGCCTTCAAAAGTGTGCAGTTCTAGCTCCTACTGGCCCCAAATGAGGCTTTTTCTTCTCATACCCTTGCCAAGAAAAGCTTTGTTGATTTGATTTTTTAAAAATGTACTTCATTGCCTTTTTCTCCTCTTGTATTTCTTTTCTACTGACATTAGCTATTGTTTATGTTTATTAAATGTATACATTTCTTCTTTTGTAAATATCAGTAGTCTCTTTCCTTTTTAAAATAAATTAAGGAGACATTTCTCTTATATTGTATTGATTCCTAAGGGGTTTACATATTTTTTAACATGGAAACTTTTCACATGTAGAAAGCTAGGCAGAATTATATAATGAACCTCCACATACATGTAGGTCAGCTTTAATGATTGGTAATCTGTGACTGATATTTTTATCTATGCCCCATACTTTACCCCGACCCCGATATTTTAAAGCAAATCCCTGATATTTCATCTATAAATATTTCAGTATGTAGCTCTAAAAGATGAGAACTCTTTTTTAATATAGAAAAGATATTAACATTTTGTTTTTAATATCTGCTGCAAATATTTCCCCTGGCTCTTCTTTGCATTTTAATTTTGTTTATGGCATTTTTTTTGTAATGCAGAAATTTAGTTAAGTGTATGCATCATTCCCTACATGGTTCCTTCCTTTGCCTTTATGCTTATTTCAGGCCAAATAAGATTTTTCTAAGATCTTATCCAAGACCAGATAGATTTCACCTCCTTGTGGTTTGACTTATCACAGAAAACACTTCGGGATATTTATAACAATGCTAAGTAGTAATAGAGAAGCAGACATCCATATCTTGTTCCTGTTTTCTTGATGAGTGTGTTGATCTAACTCTCCATATCCCCAGGATTTTTAAACTGTCTCAACTCGTAATACTTTTTCCTCTATCTTCATTAACTATTTCTTATTCTTTGGTGTTTGGAATAATTCCTTCTCCTTTTTTTTTTTTTAAGAGAGAGAGAGAGAGAGAAAGAGAGAGAGATTTTCTAATATTTTTTTATTTTTTGGTGGACACAACATCTTTATTTTATTTTTATGTGGTGCTGAGGATCAAACCCAGTGCCCCGCACATGCCAGGTGAGCGAGCGCACTACTGCTTGAGCCACATCCCCAGCCCCTCTTCTCCCCTTTTAACCTGTAACTTCCATCAGTGGTATTTAAAAAAACCAGATACTCAAGGTTGGTAGATTTTTCTGAAACGTCTGAATAAAAAGTCTCTGAGCAATGGCCCAAGTGTTCTCTTTTCAATAAAGTACATGGACTTTATAAATGCCATCTGGGTTTTCCAAGGCCTTTTCCTGCCATTACTGACACTCTTTGTTAGCTTGTTTACTTCTTTGTCTTCAGTACTTTCTGGTTAGATGAGTTGGTTTGTCCACAGTCACAACACACAGTTTCTCATTATGACTGATTTGCTGGCAGTGTGAGGATGAGCAATAACGTGTGAAGATAATTCACTTTGGCCAGGAATCTGGGTGTGAAACCCCATCTTCTACTCAGGCATCCAGCGTCAATGGAACGGATGATGAAAAGGCTTCTCACGTGGGTCCAGCTGACACACACCTCAAGTCTGAGAACGACAAACTGAAGATCGCTTTGACACAGAGGTAAGGCTTGTTTAGAATTCACATCCGAGCTGGGCACAGGCCTGAAAACCAGCAACTTGGGAGACTGAGGTAGGAGGATTGAAAGTTGGAGACCAGCCTCTGTAACTTAGTAAGACCCTTTCTCAAAATAAAAAGTAAGAAAACAGGACCAGGACTGCAGCTCAATGGTAGAGGGTCCTTGGGTTCAACAATCCCTAGTAGTGGCAGAGATGGGGTGGGGGTCAAGATCCTGTTTTCTTCACGTTCAGAACTTCTGGGAAGCTTATCAGGCTGAGCAGAATTTCAGGAAATTGAGAGAGATGACTGGCTATCCTGCTTTGAGCATCCATCTCATCTCCCTGGCAAAGGGAGACTAGTTGGCTTCATGGCCCTTCTCTATCTGCCAACCTATCAGCATCAGTGTGTGTGTGTGTGTGGGTGTGTGTGTGTGTGTGTGTGTGTTGACAAAGTGTGTATGGTGATGTAATTGAGTGTGTATGAGGTATATGATAGGGTAAGTGTGTGAGTACATGAGTGAGAAGGGATGTGTGTGTCAGTGTGAGTGTACAAGTGTGTGAGAGAGTATGTGGAACAGCTTTGAAATTGTAGTTTTTTTTAGAAGATACATTTATGATAAAAATTGAGTCTTGACCAAGAAAAGCATATAAAAACCTAAGAAAACTGTGATAAATAATATGAAATCACACACAAATCAGTAACTTTTTTGTATACAAAACCCATCACATTGGTCATATATTTGAAGAAGGTATTTGCTTTACAATATGAACTGGAACCACAAAATACATAAGAATAAACTTGGAAAGAAATGTTCAAGATCATGTAAAGCAAACTTTAAGATGATTTTGAGGATAATAAATGAATCATTTAACAGATAGATAAATTCTTCAAGGTTTTTATTTTGTTTTGTTGTTTTGTTTGAAGTGCTGGGGATTAAACCCAGGGCTCTGCAAGTGGTAGGCAAGTGTTCAGACCACTGAGCCATGCTCCCAGTCCTGAGATAGATTCTTTTTTAAAAAATGTTTTTAAATGTGGTGTGTCTTTTATTTTTAGTTGGGACATAATTATACATATTTGTGAAGTTTAGTGTGACATTTATTACATATATATTATATGTAATGATCAGATCAGAATAGGTGGCATATCCATCACTTTATATTCAAACATATTCTATTGGGCCAGACATGATAGTGCACACCTGTAATCCCAGAAACTTGGGAGTCTGAGGCAGGAGGATCATGCCAGCCTCAGCAACTTAGCAAGGCCTTGTCTCAAAATAATAAAAAGAGATGGGGATGTGGCTCAGTGGTTAAGCACCCTGGGTTCAATCCTGGTACCCACCCCCCAAAGAATATATTTTTAAAAATTATATTAATATAATTATATAAACTTATTTTTATATACATATAGTTATATTTTAATATAAATATATTTTTTTAAATTGGAAAATGGTAAGAAGACTTGATATTTTCTAAGGTATCAGTTTTCCTTTAGTAGATCTGTACATGTAAATTGATCCCTATACTGATATAAAGGTTTCTTAAATTTTTGATGACCTGACTGGTACTTGCTTTCCTGTGTCTTCAGGGCTGGCCTGTGAGTGCCTTCAGAATCATCCTGCTCACCTGGCCAGGGGCTTCGGCCAACTTCCCTCAGACTTCTCTTTGTGGAAGAGAAACTATCTTCCTCAGCCCATTTAAACTGTGTCACATTGAGAGCCATCTTGGCAAAATTCTTCCATTGTACAGATGAGGAAACTGAGCCAGTGATTCCCTATCCAAGGTCACATGTCTAAAAGTAAACCCTTCCATCACCTCATACTTCCTGCCCTTCAAAGCTGCAGTTGCAATCTCCTCAGGGATATCCCACAGTCACCAGTCACATTCTATAGCTAGAGTCACTAAAGGGCTGGCATCCATCTCCCCATCTCAAGTGAACTGGTGCTTGGAGCTTAATTCCTGTGATCTGACCTAGGAATTCCAGAAAACATGTTAGACTCTTAGATCCCGCCACCTACTTTTAGATTTTGGGTCTTTGTCAGGTACTTCAAAGAACAAAACTGTGACCAGTCTCTTTTCCTACTCGTCAGGTGATTGTGAGGACTATTTTTGACTGTTTAAGTCACAGTGAACTGCCTGGATGAAAGTGTTTCACCCCTAAAAATAAATGTTTTCAAATCCTGGTTTAATAAATGGTGTGAAGCCATTTCCCTAAATCAGCTTAAATTCTCAGTCATCAATTCCAAAATTCATCAGATTTTGGAACATTTTACTGTTTTTTCAGTCTGTGGTATTTCAAACTGTGAATATGTATTTTCTAATCACATTCCTAAGTTCTTGAGGCTGTGGGCTGAAAGATAATGCAAATTATTCAGTCACAGTTGCATTTACTTAAAATTTTTGTTTTAAAGTCTTCAGAAAGAACTCTCTTCAGCCGGGGAGAAACCTGGTGGGCTTGTCATGTGCAGCTCTGCCCCATCACCTCAGTTCACATTCAGTGCCACAGATATGGGGGCTCCAAGGCACAGAAATTAAAGGAGAGTCAAAAGGGAGAAGTTAGTGAGAGGAACCTGATTCACATTTGTTTTAATCTTCTTCCTCACTACGCACATAAAACCAAAGGTAAAACAGAAAGCCTTTGTGATGAGGGTAGGGGTTTCACACCTGAGGTGATGCCCCCTGAGGTGACGGCCAGCCAAAGCTCCCTCACACACACTGAGGTTAGGAATACAGTTCTGCTTACAGGGACCTGATTCCCCATTTGTTTCCTCTGTCCTCAAGCCCTTGATTCACAAATCTGGCTTCCTTTAAGGGCTCTGAGGAGGCACAGGTTACAATGAGGCCACTTTCACCCAGGCTGTTGCTGTGTTTGTGTTTGTGTGACATCCTTGGACTCTGGAGAGGTTCATGGCTTTCACGATATTCTCAAAGGGTCTCCATGGTCTGCCCCAGCAATTTAGAACCTCTCAGAGTGCTGCAGTAGGTGGTTAGCCAGGAAGGAGGGGGAGGTGGGTATTTATCATGCTCAGCAGTCTTTCTTTTTAGAAGTCCATTCTTCTTTCTTTAAGAAGTCCGTTCTCTTCTAAGGCAATTCTTTAAGAAACTAGCCTGGCAAGGTGACATGTTCACACTAGAAAGTGGTGCCATTGACCCTCTTGGCAGTTGGTAGGTGTAGCCAGACCCAACCCAGCTCACTAGTGGGTGAAGGAGTGGGATCCCCTCAGGTGGGCTAAGTGGCAGAGTCCCCATTCCCCAGGTGAAAGGAGGTGCACTGTGATGACTGGCATCCCCCTGCCGGCATCTCCACCACCACCTATTTCCTGCCCCGCAGTGCTGCCAATGTGAAGAAATGGGAGATCGAGCTGCAGACCCTGCGGGAAAGCAATGCTCGGCTGACCACAGCACTGCAGGAGTCAGCAGCCAGCGTGGAACAGTGGAAGAAGCAGTTCTCCATCTGCCGAGATGAGAACGATAGGCTCCGAAACAAGGTGAGCTCCTGGAACAGCAGCCAGCAGGAGTGGGGGTGGGCCACTGTGGTCCTATCTCCTCTCCTCCCTTCTCCTCCCCGGGGCAGGAGAAAGACCTGCTGCCTGATGCCATTGAACATTCTCCATCCCACTGCTTTTCTTAGTAGAAATTTAGGCCATGTAAACTACATTTACCAAATCAAGTTTTATAATTCCTGTCATTAAGGAGAAGATAAATGAACTGGCATTTGCAGCTTTGTCCTATGCCAAGAGTTCCCTCATTTTTGGGCTGGCTGATTGTCACAGTGGTCTTTCCTTAGCACTTCTGTGACTCAATGATCTTCAGTGGAGGAAAGGAAGTCAGAGGATAAGTGAAAAATAGGCCCAGAACATCCTGAGGATCATTGCTCAGTTTCCATTCAAATCATTATTTCTAAAAATGTAAACCTAGGAGGGAGAAAAGGAATATACTGCTTAAAACATGTAACATGGTTGCTGACCACTGCCAGATGCTCTCTATTTTCTAACTTCAATGTCCTGCAATTAGATTTTTTCCAGACTCACCTATAAACTTCCCTGTAATTAATCACTCTCTTTGTGGTATTGCTGAGTTGGTAAAGTGGGTTTGAGGTGACTCCCCAGACTTTCCTGTCCAGGTCTTAAGATTTCTGTGCTGACCACATTATGGTGGTGAGACCATTACCCGCCCCTCTAAACCCCACCCCCATCATGAAGTTTGGAGCTTTGGAGCATGAGCTTTGGAGGCTCCAGGTTTCAGGAGACATGTCACATTTAGATTGGTGTCCACTGTCCCTTGAGCCATTTCTATGACCTGAATGGAGCCGATATAGACCAGCCCATTGTTTCACTTTTTTCCTTTGGTGCTGATGGCACATAAAGCTGCCTCATGTCATTTTTTATCCCAGAACTGAAAGTGCTGACAGTCGGTTATCCCAGGCCAGCTGCTGACTTTGCATGTTTCTGAACAAAGCTGCCTGGCAGAGCTGCCTGCCAGAGGGATCGATTGCCCTTTCATATTTTCAAGCAAAGAGTTGAATTCCTTGCTTTGATTGGAGTATGAAAACCAAAGACAGTGTGGGGGAGTGGAGGAAGAGCATCATTCTCAGAGGAGTGTGGACTTCCCTAGGTGGGACACATTGGGACCTTGATTTCTAGGCTGGAGGGGGAAGTTGGTAGGATTTCCAGCTACAGTTGCAACCAGAGGTTCAGACTCTGAGGGGTGATGCAGGCCACCTTTCAAGAAGTGTCCTCATGGCAACCGCCCCAGTGCCCTTCATATAAAGACCACTGCTGTCTGTGTGTACACTGAGCAGCTTTTGGGTGGTCTCCAAGAAATACTCAGCATCGAACAGTAATATCTGGGTGTCAGGCCTGCATGAGTAACCTTTTTGAGGAGTTAGGCCTTGAAGTAAGGAAAGATGTAGTTTTAGAACTTCCTATTCAGTCTCAAGGAAGAGGCCCACTGGCCAGGCCCCTTCTGCATTCATACACGAAGGAAGGTCATCTTGATATATAGTGTTTAAAATGTCATCACATCCCATTTGGTGGCCACTGTTCTACAGAGTTGTTAGAGTCTCTGCTCTGCTGGCTTAAATCCTTGAGATGAAATAGAATAATTCAGGACATGATTCAAATGATATAAAAATCATTCTGGGGAGAAGCAGATCAATTTGGAACATCTTGCCTGTGATAGATCCTTAAAACAAACCTAAACTTACTCCCATGTGACCAAGATAGAAAAACAGAAGTCCAGAGCATTCTGCAGTTAGGTTTCATTACTTATTAGCCCTGCAAGTATTAAGTGAGGCATCCTTTACAAGCAGGGGTAGACAGCTCCATGGGGAGCCGCTTGGAGCGTGTTCATAACCACAAAGAAAAAAATATTTTAAGTGGGTTAGTTTATGGTTGATTTTAAAAGAAAGTATAAAAATAGCTAGGCATTATGGTGCATACTTATAATCCCAGCTACTCAGGAGGGAAGAGGACCATAAGTTCAAGATCAGACTTAGTAATTTAGGGAAACCCTGTCCCAAATTTTTAAAAAGGAATAGGGATGTGGCTCAGTGGAGAGCACCTCTGGGTTCAATCCTCAATACAAGAAAGAAAAAAAAGAAAGAAAGAAAGCATAAAAATAGCTTTGGCAGTCTCTAATGACTAAACTAGCATTTAATGTGTTTGTTGAAGATTGACGAGTTAGAAGAACAGTGCAGTGAGATAAACAGGGAGAAGGAGAAGAATACTCAGCTGAAGAGAAGAATTGAGGAGCTGGAGTCAGAACTCCGAGAAAAGGAGACGGTGAGTAGTGGATACTCTCTAAACATGGTCCTTGGCATTCTCTGGGCCTTGTGGAGTGACCTCTGTGATCTCAACCCAAGGACATAGCAGGTAGCTTGGGGCATATGACTAAACCTGGCAGCTTTCTGAACACCAGGACAGAGAGCCAGGAGTCACACCTAGGTACAGATACTCCAGAGCAGAGGACAGCCTCATCATTACCCTCTTCAGCCTCCTCATCTAAGAGTGACCTGAACATTTCTCAGAACACTTGGGCACTTCTGTAGATCAAAAGTTGCCATCAAAAGTTGTTCTGCTAAGTTAATGCAGCTAGAACTATCAATCATGTAGTCATTTACATTCTGGGAGGCAAAACATTTAAGTACACTCACATTGAAGACCATGGGCAAGTTATCAAACCTCTTTGGGTCTCAGTTTCACCTTGTACAAAACAGTAAAACATAACAGTACAAAACATAAAAAAATACGTGCCTTTTTATGATGATATTATGGACTTCATATGATCATGAAGAAACACACTTGGCCCTTTGAATCACCTGATAGTTAAGAATAGCATCATCACCACTATTGCTTATGCAGACAGGATGGGCTGCAGAAACAGTATCTATTAGTAAATGCACAGGTTGGTGATTTTCAAGGATACATTTATCTGATTGCTTTCATGTTCTTTTTTGAATTCCTGTATCCTCAAGGAGTTGAAGGATCTCCGAAAACAAAGTGAAATCATACCTCAGCTCATGTCAGAGTGTGAATACGTCTCTGAGAAGTTAGAGGTAAGAGAGGGGCATACCTGCCCTGGCTAAATGAGAAGGCAATTGTCATGTTGCTGGTGTGTCTACTCCCTCTAGCTGTCACATCTAGGATGATAAAGAGGAGTGAGTTTCTATTTGTAAAAAGGTGGTGTAATCACATGCCACCTGGCCTTAAAAGCAACTCAACAGCATTGGTCTTGTGGTTTTTTCGCTTATACAGAGGCATTCTATGTATAACCACAGCATAGGTGGCTAGTTATCTCCCAAAGAAGTTCCTACAAAGCCACAGAGACAATAAAGAGAGGGACAGAAGGGTGGCCTGAGAGTATAGAGTCAGAGTACAAGTCCACATCAGCCACTTCCTAGCCCATGACTTTGGGCACTGACCTTGGTCAGCCCTTCCTCCCTATCCTCAGCTTTCTGATCCATAAAAATGAGGGGTTTTAGGTCCTCCTTCACCTCCAGGGGTCTCCTCACTTAACATACACAAAGAGCGCTTTATTGAGTTACACAGTTCCGGTTCTATATTAGTAAGTAGTTCCTGGGCACATACATGTTCAAGAAAGTCCCAGTTTACTCCCATGAAATAAAGCTGTTATTTGTCATGAAGAGTACAAGGCTTAAGGCTCATTTAACAACTCATAGCCCTCCTGTCTTTGGGAACTGTATCTGATTTACCTAAATTGGATTGTGGGCCCAGCTCTGCAGAAATCTCCATGGTGATGGTATCAGGATGCATAGACTGCCTGTCCCCGAGCCACTGGTATGGCCAGTCCTCCTTAGCCAAGGGCCTGGGACTTGAGGAGCCCTCTCAGGGAAACAAGCCACTTTTCCATTTATTCTGTTTCTTTCTCTCTCAGAGTGGAACTGAAAAGTGACCTCTGCTGGCCACTCTGGGAGGGGTTGAAAATGCCATACCAGGATTTCAAGCCATTCCTGCTGGGCCCTTTGTGAAGGCCCCCCTCAGGCAGTTCTCTGCATTCTACAATCTGGGTTAGAACTTGGGTTTTAAGGCCAAATGTTGGTCCAGGGAACAGGCAGGAAGGAGGGGCTGAAACACCCACTGCCACCTTTCTGACATCATGATTACAGGCTTGTGTATTGAAGGGCATAACTTGTCTCTAGTGTCTTTGACCCTGGCCCAAGCCCATGGATCTGATGGAGAATGATTGGTTCAGCTGTAGCAGGCTTTGTGGATGGTTCCCATCACTCTTTTCCAGACCCTTCTCCCTTCTGTTTTGTCAGGCGGCAGAGAGAGACAATCAAAACCTGGAAGACAAAGTGCGATCTCTAAAGACCGACATTGAGGAAAGTAAATACCGACAGCGTCATCTGAAGGTAGAGTTGAAGAGCTTCCTGGAGGTGCTGGATGGGAAGATTGATGACCTCCATGACTTCCGCCGAGGCCTCTCCAAGTTGGGTACAGACAACTAGGGCCGGGCACAGACCTGGGCCCTGGATCGTGAGTCCCACGTGTGTGTGTGTGTGTGATGAAATAGGACTAGGATGTTCTCCTGTTAGCATTGCTTCTGTAAATGCAGGCGCAATTTGTCTTGTTTCCAAACCAGTTGTGCCGTCCACTCACTCCTCTCCAGAATAGAAATCTCTTACTCCTCTGGCCTCACGAGGTTGTGGACAATTGGAAGATTCTGACTCAGGAATCCAGAACTAGGTCTACCTAAAATGTTTACGCAGTCAGGGCAGGGATGTTTATATCTTTCTTAAGGGCTGTTGCAACCATATGAACCGAAAAACAAGGTAATTTTCTAATTCAAGTATCAGTGTCCCCTTTACAACAGGCCTTTTTGCTCCTTTTATTGAATAGCATTTGGAGTACATGATTGTCCACCAGGCTCCAGTCCATGGGGCAAGGAGGGAGTAACGTCTCTCACAGTAAACATTGAGTCATTTTCAAGCAACCATTTAGTGTGGTGAATTATCTGGAGAAAGAAAGCAAGTTTCTGGGTGAATTTTCTGATTTGGGAATCACTTATATCCACTATATCCCATCCTCCCTCAGTTTGTATGGTTGCGACAATATTCCTTTCGTTGGTTTTAATTTCTGAGCAGATGCTTGTGCTGTGGGAACAGCACATGGTGAGGGCGCCAAGCACACAGTGCCTGGCACAATGTAGGTGCTTAATAAATATTGTTCAATTAAACATTTATTAAACAGAATTTAGTGTTTTAATCAAACCCCACAAGTAGAGTCCAGACCTCTGTTGAATGATACACCATCTTTTTTTTTTGTGCTGGGTAGTTATCAGGAATGAATACTACTGTCATCAAACCTGAGGCTCAGGTGGCCCTGGGGCAGGGAGGGTGGCAGCAGAAGCATCAGGGGCTGATCTGAGACCCCCTGAGAGCCCAGCCATGGTGCTCTGCCCCTGGCACCATCACCTTCTTCAGGCATGGCATCCTGGAGCCTGAGGATTCCAGAACACTAGCTGGCCATGGTAGGGGCTATCCAGGGTTTCAGAACTAGGGTGTGATCCTATGGTAGGTTTGGATAATTGAGAAAGAAATCATCCAACCCCATGATGGTGACAGAGTCCTGCTCAGAGGGTGGCCTTGGCCTTAGTACCAAAAAACTCTGCCCAGATTCACCTCTTGCCTCAGTTCCTGCTAAGGAAGGGCCTGGAGCCATAAACCTTTCCTCTGATACAGAGCTTCTCAGTGGGGCCAGTGACCACTTCAATGCCATTAGCATCCTTCATTGTGAAAGATCACCTGTGTATGGCAAGATAAGTCCCCAGTCCTATATGTTTTTTAGAACATATAGGCAGAAGAGACTCTGGTGTCACCTTACCTCTCTAGAACTACCTAAGAGAATTTGTTCCTCTAGAAATGTTTTCTCATAGAGAAATTCTTCCTGTCAAATTTGAATTAATGAGAAAACAGCCTGAGGAGGGGGTAGGGTCCACATAGACATGACCAAAGCCCAAGGTGAGTTAGAGTCTGCTACTCCCCTTCCCCTAGCTGAGGCATCTCTGAGCAGGGAATTTTTGCCTGGGATAGGAAAAGAAAGAAGTCTGTTGATTTGGAGCACCAAGGTACATTAGGGGAGACCCCCACAGGCTAAGTGGGGGTCTTAAATACACAAGGCTCTTAGGTCACCCCTGCTGTGATTCAGGCAAGGGATCTGCTGGCCCTCTCCTCTCCTCAGAGCTCTAGATGGCTCTCAGGACAGTCAGTAGCAGCTCCCGACTGGCTGTGCCAGGAGACCAGAAAGCTGGGCTGGCCATGACATGGTCCTGGAATCCAGAAGTGGGTAAAACAGATTCTTCCCAGGCCAGCCTGGTCCTCCTACCAGCAACCTGGGCAAATGTCTTCCCAGGAGCAGTAGACACTGGAATCGCAAACACCCTTCACTGGAATCTTCAGATGACCACCACCTGTGCCCACAGGCAATTTATTAATCCAAAGCAGTGACTTTAAAAAATGTTGGAAGCCATCACACAGTGGGGTTGAGGTACTTGATGCCCATTTATCAAACTACTAAAGAGTTTGGCCACCATCTTGTAGCTAATAGGTGAGGAGCCTAGTTTCCCTGAACTATTGGGGCTTATCCAGCCTTAGAACTGCTGCAGCCCAGGAGCTCACAGTGTTAGGGGGTCCTTTAAAGTAAGAGTTGGTTCTGCAGTGAAAGCACAAAACTTGACATAAGCCCTTTTCATCCCTTCAACTTTCCTCGAAAGCCCATAGAATTTCTTTACTTTCTTTTTATTTTCTCTTTTGGTGTGGGTGTGGGGGGGGTGGGGGGTGGTACTGGGGATTAAACCCAGGGGCTCTGTAACACTGAGCTACATCCCCAGCCCTTGTTGTTTATTTTGAGATAGGGCTGGCTAAGTTGCCAAGTCTGGCCTCAGACTTGTGATCCGCCTGCCTTAGCCTCCCAAGGGATTACAGCCATACACCACCACACAAGATTTCATTTACTTTCTTTAAAAAAGAATGGTTCAGGAACAGCCTGGATAGTGAGTCAAGGGATTGGTCTTGTTGGACAGCCTTTGACACTGTGAACAGGGGACTCAGTACAATGAAAATGACCCACTGGATTTGTCCCCACTTTCAGTTGAGTTGGTATAATGTGCCCTCATTATGATGTCCAGCCCAGTCACTAGACTATTGTCATGGCTGTAAGCCGAGTAAGCTTTTCTCTCATAGCCTTTGGAGCCACATTGTGCTGCTCTCCTGGTTTTGACATCTCCAAGACTGGCTTTCTTCACCTTGATTAGCTTTCTTTCTGCATTCATGAAACGTGGGCCTAAAAAGATGCCAAGTAAAACTTTAACCATGTTGATCTTTAAAATAAACTTTGCTTTCTAGTCAAAATCCAGCTGGATGCATTTCCTAGATGGGATGGGAAAGAGAGAGGATGTCTTCTGGGTGCCCAGGGATTGTAAGCCCACTAGAGTGGCAGGTTGGGAAAGCACAGCCAGGCCTCTAGGGGAAGAGAGCCTGAATTCACTCAGGACATCTGTGTGCTCCATCAATTCCATCTTCCCTGCATGCCATCGCTTTAGATCTCAGATAAGACAACTGGGCAGAGATCGTTGCCTGCATTTTGCAGACGTCAAGTAGGGACAGTGACATGCCCAGGGTTACCCAGCTGTGATCAGCAACATGGGCTCTGCATCCAGATCTCCTGGATTTTGGTCCACTATTTTTCCATGAGTCATGTCACTATTGTCCCTTTGGTGACCCATGGGTGCAAAGAGGGAAAAACTCTCTTGTATCCTCATAAGAGCACATTGTAGTTATATTATCTTAATTCATGTCCACAGCAAAGGACAATTTACAAGGAGTGAATCAAAATTTCATTTATGTTCATTACAGATAATAAGTTCCATTTTTGAATGATTCTGTCTTTTTAAGGGTCTTTTTAAGAGAGTATCAGTTATAATCATGTCCCTGCCCTAAGAGGCCAGTTAACCCAGACTTGTCTTGAGTTCTTTATGGATGGCTTTCATTGAAGCAGGGTAGTCTGTTTAAAACAGGTGGAAGGCCCTGAGATTACAGAGACATAAATAGCATTCTAGTATGGGGTCACCTGTCCAGGAGATTAGCCAGTGCTCGGAAGGGAGCAGACTTGTTCAGTGCTGGAGCCAGTCACATGGAGTCTGAGCAATATCCAGAAAGACTATTCTCAGGGGGCAGCTGGTCTCCACCCTGCAGGCTCCATGAGCACAGCTTCATGAAGGTGGTTGGTAGGAGTCTGACTTGTATATACCGTGTTTGATATGAAACACCAAATAAATGCAGTTAATGTGCTGCCCAGAACAATCATGGTCTGCCACTTTAAAAGAGTTCTTTTTCTGTAGACAAGCCTCCTTTTCTGTAGATCCAGGAGCAGTTTTGGACAAGAGCCAAACACAGGGCATGCCAGGGACCATATTGTGGGACCTTCCGTGTGGCCAGGTGTACTCTTGGGAAAAAAGCAGCCACAATATGACTTGGTGTAGTATTTCAAAGATGCTGCCCTTTAAGAAGGAGCCAGTTTTACTCTGTTAATAACAGAAAGTGAGTTGTTCGTGCCATTCATCCTTGTAGAAATTAAAATTCTATTCACTGGAAACATGACAGGATTTTGAAGCATTTGGAATATAAACTGGAAGCATAAAAATTGGTGTCCATATATTTTTAAAGTATATGCATGGTTTAAACAGACCCAAATTTCCGAGTAAATAGCTTTGCCAAAGAAAAATAGCATATACTTTGGGAATAGTGGGGGTGATGGCGTGGAGAGGAATTCTGTAGAGAAATATGTTATTTACATGCCTTTACCATACACCTATCCCAAGAATACGGTGCCTCTTTAAAAGGGCCTAGCAAGAAAATGTTAAGAAATTTGAGCTGGATGGAATGTTGTAGTGAGCTTATGACTGTGTGTGTGTTGGGGAAGAAGCAGCAAGGGGAAGTAGGAAAAACAATAAGGAAGAGTTTTCAATAAAAAATATGTATACTTAAGAGGAGTCTTTATTTGAATATTTCTAGTGGTGGTGTTGTATGTTCTGGAATCCGTTTACCTGGAGTCTGTGGGTCTTTTGTTTTGAGTACAATTGTATGGTGCCCTACTCTACACATACAATTGTATGGTGCAGAGCTTGCTGCAGGGTGGTCTCCTGGGCCACAGGGATCCCTGACACACCTGGCAGGAGCCCAGAGCAACCATGATGGAGTCCAAACTCTTGTACATTTTGGCAGATGATTGGTAGGATTCATGATATGCAGCTGTGGGAGATGTGTTTCTGTGTTTACCCTCTTGTACCACTCCCAATAGGAAGCCCTGACTTTAGACCAGTTGTTGTAATAGTGTCCCATGATGTGAAAGGCAAGAAGACATATCTTATATCAAATATAAGAGTTTAGTAATAAGAAATAGGGTAGATAAGTGGACCCTCCCAAGAATACCTTTCTTTTTTCCTTTTTAAACAATTTTTAGGTACATAGGTAAAATATACTTTTTAAAAAAAAGAAATTTAAGTGAAAAGAAAAAAACCCACCTTTATTGCACTGATTATAACCACTGTTAACATTTGATATATATCTGTTCAGACTTTTTTTCTATGTGTCTGTATTTGATTAATTACTTTTTCCATGAAATATAATCATGTTATACATAATTTCTGTTATTTGCTTTTTCTCTACATTGTAAATATATTTCTATCTCAGTACATATGTAATCAAATGCTTTTTAACATCTACACAAGTTATACTTAAGGCTGTTTCCAATTTTTTACAGTTTAGTCAAGGACATGATGAAATTCTTCTGACATCTTTGTTAAACTTCTCAATATTTAGTTAGGATAATTTTCCAAAATTGGACTTGTTGGCTCAAAAATGTGCTTCCTCAAATCTGGCTTCTTTCCTTCCTGGGCATACAGGAGACTAATTCTCCAGCCCCCTTCCTAGTTGTCCAGGGTTCTGTGACTAACTCCAGCCGATGAAATGTAAGCAGAAGATACATATGAAAATCTAGGCTCAGACCGTGACATGCTCATGTGCAGTGCTCCAATGTCTGTGTTGTCCTGCCTCAGCAAATGATGATGTCCCCTGGTAGAGCCTCTGTTATCCTAGGTCCCTGAGTGACTAAGCAGGTCACTTCCTGCTTTTCCCTCACCCCCACCCACCAACCTGCATGGACATGTAACATGAATAAAGAATAAATCTTAAATCTTACACTGGGATTTCAGGGTTAATTTGTTACTACAGCATAACATATCCTGTTCTGGATGATAATTTAAAAGACATGTACATTTTTAAAACTTTTAATAAATATTACCTCAAATTGCCTCTCAAAGGTGGCCCCAAATTATACTTCCACCAGCAGTATGAGAATGTCTTAATCCCTTTTCAACACTGTTAGCATGGGGGCTGGGAGATAAATAAAGTTTTTGATTAAAATATGACCCTCATTAGCAAAATATATACATATGTATATATGTATATTTGTATATATACCTATATTCATATCCTCTGGCCAGTCTTGTCATAGGCATCTAGTAGTTTCATTGATTACTGAGAGATTTTTTAAATAAGATTTGTAAAACAATTTAAGTGATATATATGGCTTTTAAAAAATGTTCAAGTACTTACAAAAAGCTTTTTAGTCAGATATTTTCCTTTTCAGTTGCTGTCTTTGCTTCATGCTTATGAACGTCTTTCCTGGTCTAATTTCAAGATTATATTGTCATCAATATTTTGTTCTTGTACATTTATCATTTCTTTTTAATCAGTTAAACCTCTGATCTATTTGAAATTTATTTTATAAATTGTCTCAGCACTGTTTATTGGGAAATCTATCATTTCTCTATTGCTATCAAATCCCATTTTTACCATGTACTCAGACCTTTTGTTGGGTGCCTAAGATACGCATTCTACCCTAAAATGTGCTTCTGAGCTTGCCCCTGTGGTCCTTTATCCACCTGTACACTCTAACACTGGTACCACACTGTTTTGATCACCATAATCTTAAACTAAATGTCCTCATTAGTTAAGCTTTGAAAAAAAAATTCCCAGTCCATTTTGCATAGTAATATTTCCCAAAGAAATTTGGGATCATTTTGTAACTTAGAAGAGTTAGAAATTAGATTATGTAAAATTTATATATATCCATAGAACTAATATCTTTTATATTTTCTTTTTCACTGAATTTATATTGTTTAATTTTACATCTTTCAGTCTATTTTTTCTAGTAAAGGTAATTTTTGTAATGGTGGATACTATTGTCAGTTTGTCCCATTGTATTTTCCATCTGCTTATTATTAGTATGTAATTATGCCATTAGTCTTTGATGAAAGTTAAATCCATTGATTTTCTAATTTGAAACATTAAATAAAAGTTTTGTAGATTTAAAGATGAGAAACATAATGTAGCAAAGGGAAGTTCCCATAATTAAAATTCCCCAAGGTAAATAATAACAACTAATGCACAGTCCTCAAATTTCTCCCCTAAAATATATTCTGTCATTTTGGTGACATAGTACAACCCTTCTACTACTTGGATTTTTCACTTTGCAATAGATCATGGACATCCTCCTATGTCAGTGAGCATCAATCTACCTCATTCTGACCTCTGCATAGAGTAGTGTGTGGTTGTATGCAAATGTATTTAACTTGGGAACTGGTTATTTTGTATCCAGTCAGTTGCTAAATTCTTTTCATTTTTTTTTATTTGCCTTTTTCAGGTAGGTAATAGTTCTGGTTAGTGATGATAGTTTTATCTCCATGTATTCAATAATCTTATTTCCCTTTTTTCTCTTATCACATTGACCAGCACTTTTAGAGCAGAGTTAAATAGTGCACATATAATTATGCTGGTATTGTACACTCTTCTTCATATGTTTTTCCCTTAGTGAGAATATTTCTAGTGTTTCTTCAAAAGTATAAATTTGACTCTTAGTATAAGACATTCTTAATATTTGAATTTATATGTTAAAGTTATGTAAACTTCTGTTTGTGGTTTGCTAAAAATTTTATCAGTAATGAATGTTGGGATTTTAGTGACTTTTTCATGTCTGTCAAGATGATCAAATGATTTTTCTCTATTATGACTTGAGATGAATAATTTTAATAGATTTGCTAATGTCAAGCCCCCTCTGCATTTCTAAAAAAAACCTGATATAGTCATAAAACATTATTCTTTTAATATTCATCTCCTTTCAATGTTAACAGTGGTTATTTATGATAGGTTGGTCCAAGGTGGATTTTTATTTTGTGTTTCTTTTCTGCATTTTCTGATTTTTCTACAAATATTGTGTATTATTTGTATAATAAAGACAAGAGCTTTACAATGAGAAAATATTCTGGATTTGGTTTGCTTGTTTTATTTTAGAAATTTTTGTATCTTAATAAGATGAACAGTTGGGATTTTTTTCTGGTGTCTTTGTCAGTTATATTTATGTTCTTTAAAAAAAAAGAACTTGAGAAGCTCTCTTTTTCTATGCCCTAGAACAGTTTAAATAATATTTAGAATTTTTTGCTCTTTGAAGTTTTTATAACATATATAAAACTGTCCAAGTCTAGTGCCTTTTTAGAAAATAGTTCTTGATAATGTTTTCAATTTTTTTTTCACATTCAATGTTCTCTTCAAACTGCAATGATTCTGTTGATTTTCAAATATGTTGGATTGGAATTGCTTTATTCTTCTTTCTCATTCATAATGTTGTGTGTGTGCTTTCCCTTGTTATTCTTCTTTTGTTTTTCCAGAGCTAGTCTATTTCATTAGTCTTTTAAAAGAACCAGTTCTGGAATCTATACCTGAATTTACCATCTTATGATTTTTATTTGTTTTTGTTCTTATTAAGTCCTTTCTTAATTTTTTTTATTTTTCCACCTCCTCAAACTGATTGCCATTATAACTTTTTCTTGCATAGTTACTAGCATTTTAAGCCTATGACTTTTTCTCTGAATATGTCTTTAATTATAGCTCTTAAATTTTTATGTATGGTGTTCTATGTTATAAATAATTTCTGATTTCAGATTTAACTTTATTTTATACTGAAGAGTTATTTGAAATTATAGAATTCCAGATAGTCTGATATTTGTTGTTGATGCTTTTAACATTTGTTACAAACTTCTAGTTTTATTGCCTTGTCAAAGACAGTATGACCTATACAGTTTGTGCATTTGGGAATTTATTGATGTTTTCCTAGAACTTAATAAATTCTTAGTTTTAATAAATATCCCCAGGAAACTGGAAAAGATATATTCTCTGAAGGGAACAAAATTCAACCTGTATATATTAATTTGGCCTTATTAAGTATATTATAGACCTTTAATTTTTGCCTACTTGATTATTTAAAGACGATAACATTGGTTCTTGCTACTATTGTATTTGTCTATTTCTCTTGTGTATCTAACCATTTTTGCTTTATGTATTTCTCTTTGATGTTATTTGGCAAATTATGTTTTTATATTTAAGGGAAAAGTTACTTTCCTTTGAAGATTTGTGTATCTTTGTAAGCTTTACCTGATTTTGTTGTAATAGAGTTGTTTATGTAGAAATACATAGTTCGATAAAACATTTGTGTCTGGTTTTTTTTTATTTTAGTTGTTGATGGACCTTTATTTTATTCTTATATTTATTTATGGTGCTGAGAATCGAATGCAGTGCTTTTGCACATGCTAGGCAAGCACTCTACCACTGAGCCCCAGCCCCAGCCCCTTGTGTCTGTTTTTAAGCTAACAAAAATCTTTAAGAAGCCCTTTGTGCCTGAACAAGATATTTTAGAAGTTCTTGATGTCCCCAAGTAGGCTTGTGTCCTCTGAGGTCACTTCCTGAGCCAAAGCCGGAGTGGCCATGTGGAGTGAAGCATAGTACTTGGGAACTCAAGGAGGGATTTTTGTTTGTTTGTTTTTTGCTTTTTTAGCATGCCAGCATTTCTGGTTCCTCTTTTGGACAGGCTCCTGCATGAGGGTGCTTCAGGGATGCCCGCCTCTGGGCTGATCACATTCTGCCTCATTGGGGCCACACTACAGCTTTTCTCAGGCCAGGAGGTGCTTTCCTTGTTCAGAGGCCAGCATTCTGAGTAGAAGGCAGTGAGAGTGTGCGTTTTTGTGCCTGGATGCAGGAAAAAAAGCTAATCTCAGAGCCTCATCTTATCAGAAGAGATTTTTCCAAAGCTGTTTCCAAAGATCATTCACATGGCAGAGTCTGTGCCAGGCACAGATCCACCTTTTCCCAGATATGTGTAGAAATTGTGAATGCATCTTTTACTCCTATTCAGCTCAAGAATAAAGGAATATGGTCTGCATTTTTTCCTCCATTGAAGTTAATTACTGTTTTGATCCCCTGTCCCATCAGACTCATGTAATTTGATTTAAATCAGTTCTGGGACTCACTTTTCTCCAGAAGTGTCTTTGAAGGTTGGGTGGGGGGGGACTCACACAGTCCCAACGTGGTCAGTGTATAGAACCTACATCTTCTGAGATGTCCTCTATTCCTGTCCCCACCCTGCTCTACCTTTCCACCACCTCTTCACATAGGAATTATTCAAATGTTCCTTTGCTGCAGAAATCTCCATGAAGTTACCCTTGGCTCTGACTATCTTCTCCCTCTCTGCAGCCTGAGGGCACCAAAGACTTCAGGTCAGGGGTCACTTAACAGAAGGAGATGAGGTAAGCCAGGTGTGAGTTTAGCTGGGAGACCAGACCACTGAGTAGAAGTTATTCTGTGGCCATCACCAGGGCAGGCTGGCTTTGCTGATGGCCACAGGCCCTCACTGCTCACTTGTGGACTCTCTGACTTTCTTTCCTTGTTCTTAACTTGCCCCTATTCCTACTTCTTCTCTTCTTCTTCCTATTCGGTTTGCACTGGGGTCTCCAAGGCTCTGTCCTGGGCTGTCTTCCTCGGTTCTTTTTCCCTTTGAGTGTCAAGGATTCTGCAGTCCACTGTCAACAGCCACTTGCACCTAGGACATCCCATGCACAGGCACCTGCTCTTGGAGAGCATCTCTGCCCCACCTCACCCACAGGTATACACACCACCTCCCCTTCCCCCGATACCCCTCCCCACCTTGCCCGCCCTAATGGTGGCCCGACCACTGTGTTGGTGCCATCTCTGCCCTTTTTCTTGCCTCTTGCACAATGAGATGCACAGCCTTGTACTTTCCCTTTGCCATCCCTGTCTCCTTATTCCACCATTGCTACCCTCTTGGCATCATCCCTTTCCTATTTCTGGTCCCTTCACTCCAATATCTTCAACATTTTCTGGTTGCTCTCACACGGAGCTGCCAGAGGTGGCTTCTTCCTGTACCACAGGGATGATCTGCTTGTGCCCAGGCCTGGCTGTTACATTATCTCTGTGTTCTTGCTCATGCTGTTATCAGTGCCCAGAACCCTTTCTCTGTTGCACACCCACACCTCTTCTTAGGCCCAGGTCAAGATCCTCCAGATGAAACTCAACCACTACCAGGGGGCTTCTCATTGCCTTTGTACAGTTCTCTCATACTTAATAGCTTTTAAATTATTAACTTTTCCACATAAAACTGATCAATATTTATTGATCAGTTTTATGTGGAAACACAACGGTGAAAAGACTTGGTTACTTTCCACATATTTGTTGCGTCCCACTGGAGAGGGGAGATGACCTACTGCAGGTGTTAATGGGACTCGGGAAGCTCCCCTCAAGACAGTTAATGGGGGGCTTGGAGGCTCCCCTCAAGATAGCTCTCATAAGTGGCCAAGAAGCAGGCCCAGAGCATACCTAGCTCTTCCAGGGCTGGAACTACCCCAGGCCACTAGAGACTTCACAACACATCAGGCCTCAAGGCTGCTGACCTTGGGAAGAACCTGCAGTGACTAAGTGTGCCTGCTTCACTCTTTCCTCAGCACCAGCCTCTCCACTCCTCTCTGACTTGGGTGGATGGTATCAGTGTTTTACTGAGGATGGTCTGTACGCCAGCTGTTATTTGGGGTTCCAGCCCATCTCAGAAAAACCTAGATTAGGACCTTTGTTTCCTGGACCTGAAAAATCTACCTTCTAGCAAATTGCCTTCTACTATACAGAACTCTGACCTTCCTTCAAAGAGGTCCACATCCTAATCCCTGGAACCTTTGACTGTCAGCTTAAAAGGCAAAGGGGGTGCTGGGGTTGTGGCTCGGTGGTAGAGCTCTTGCCTGGCATGTGTGAGGCACTGGGTTCAATCCTCAGCACCACATATAAATAAATAAATGTATTATGTCCACCTAAAGCTAAATATATATATATATATATATTTTTTTTAAGGCAAATGGGATATTACCCTAGACTCTGTGAGTGGATCTGGTCTAATCAAGTTATTTTTCTTTTGGGGGGTACCTGGGATTGAACTCAGGGATACTCAACCACTGATCCACATCCCCAGCCCTATTTTGTATTTTATTTAGAGACAGGGTCTCACTGAGTTGCTTAACACCTCACCATTGCTGAGGCTGGCTTTGAACTCATGATCCTCCTGTCTCAGCCTTCAGAGCTGCTGGGATGACAGGCATGTGCCACCTCACGGGGCATTATTGGAGTTCTTCAAGGCAGAGGTCCTTCCTGGCAGGGGTCAGAAAGAAATGTAATGGTAGAAGAAGGGACAGAGGACCACAGCTGTGCTGGCTTTGAAGACAGGGGTAGAGGAACACAGGGAACCTCTAGATACAAAAGAGGCAAAGAAACAGCTTCTCCCTGGACCCCTGAAGACTGGAGTTTTGTTGAAACCTCAATTTTAGTTCCATGAAACCCATGTTGCACTTCTGACCTGCAGAACTCTAAGAATAAATTTGTGTTGTTTTAAGCAACTGTGTTTCATTATGGCAGCAGTATGCTCCTTGTGTGAGTTTACATATTTAACATTTTAAGAACCTCTGCTGTATAAATCCACTCTTCTACATGATCATTAATGATCATGTTCCCCCCTGATCAAAAACCTGATTTAGCTGGGCCCAGTGGTGAATGCCTGTAATCCCAGCAACTCAGGGGTCTGAGACAGGAGGATCGCAAGTTCAAGGTCATCTTCAGCAATTTAGCAAGACCCTGGCTCAAAAATAAATAAAAAAGGATTGGGGGTATAGCTCAGTGGTAAAGTGCTCCTGGGCCCAATCCCCAGTACAAAGTAAAATCTTCTGATTCTAGCTCCTAGAATAACCTGTTGATTCCGGATTTAAATTCTGGAGAGGGAAGGAATAAATGAATAAAGAAGTCTGATTGACATGACTTATTGTTTTTTATTCCAGGACAATTCATAAGATGCTCTCTGTTATGGATTGGCTGTATCCTATGACCAGATGCCAGTCTCTAATCTAGTCAGCTTGGGAAATAAACCACAGCCCCTCTGACCTGCCTTTGTAGCCAGGGCTATGGATGTAGGAAGCAGAATGGCTGATGTCTAGGACAAGGTGCAGTGGTCTTGTAGGGCAGGAGATACCTCAAAGAGATGACAGCTATGGGGCTGAGACTGAAGAATGGGTCTGGGTTTGCCAGAGCATGGAGCAGACATGGGTGCAATTACAGGCATTTAAATGCTTCAGAGAGCCGGGCCATTTGGGGGCAGTCAGCAAGCAGCTTGGCGTTGCTGGAGTAAAACCTACAGTGGGTAAAGGGGACAACAATCCTTTCCTGGGACTTTTATACGCCTCACTGCAGGCCAATCCTTATTGATTGATTGATTGATTGATAAGCCAGGGGGGAACTTTGAGAGGTAAAGATGGATTGATTGGCAGTACTTTGGAGGGCGGACTGGGAATGTTTGAAACTAGACAACAGAAGACATTCTTGTTCCCTCCATCTTGAGTCTGAATTTCCCAAAGCCAGCAGCTGGATTTATTTCAGGGCTTGACTACAAGAAGCAGGAAAAGGGAGAAATGAAGGAGGGAAGGTTCCAGAGGAGGAGGGGGAGAAGTTTTTGAGGCACTGAAGATACACAAGTGTGCCAGGAACTTTGAAACTTCAAGAGAACTATTTTGAGAATAATATTTTTCTTTTTCCTTTTTTTTTTTCTTTTTTGATGGCTTCTCATCTTTGGCAGCCCCTGAAAAGCAAATTCTGAGAATTATCCAAATTGGATTGAACTCCTTGGTGTCTCATAATGCTGAAATTATTCTAACTATTAAAATCGATAACAAACATAATAAGAAAGTCCTACAAAGTTCTGATTTTGCCATTTTTGAATATCAGATTCTTTTCAGAGGACTATTTTTATTTGATGCTGAGGTGAGCTTGCCAGTGGGGAAGGAGGCCTGGGGCAAAGGCATGGGACCTGCCTTGGGGATTTGGAAATGAAGCCTGCAAGTAGCCAGCATGGAGCAATTCCCAGTAGAACACATGGGAATCTGTGAGGGAGCCGCAGTCCCCAGGGCCCGTGCACAGCCAGAGCTGGCTTCATCAGACACCAAAGCCATGTCAGGCCCAGTGTGGCAGAGACACATTCATGGATTTGAGTTCTAGGAACGTAGGACACATGACAGTCCCAAGGATAATCAGGAAGCAGCCACGCTGGAGGCTCTCTAATCAGGCTAGGGAGGCAGGTCCAGGTTGCAACTACTGAATAAGGACTCAGA